TTGTTATTTTTTGTTACCTTATAGAAACACAATGGATTTTGTATGCCGACTTGGTATCCTGCACATTTAATGAATTTGCTTATTAGTCTTAATGGGTTTTTTTTTTGGTAGAGTCTGTAGGGTTTTCTATATATAAGATCATGTCATCTATAAACAAAGGTAATTTAACTTCTTCCTTTCCTATTTTAATGCATTTCTTTCATTTTCTTGCCTATTCTGGCTAGGCTTCTGGCACTATGTTGAATCGTTGTGAGAATGGACATCTTTTTCTTGATCTTAGGTTGGAAAGCTTTCTTCTTTTCACTATTGAGTATGATATTAGTTGTGGGCTTGCCATGTATGTCCTTTACTGCACTAAGGTATATTCCTTCAATAATTTGTTGAGAGTTTTTATCATGAAAGGATGTTGAATATTAAATGCCTTTTCTACATCTGTTGAGATGATGATATGGTTTTTGTCCCTCGTTATGTTAATGTGGTATATCACATTTATTGATTTGCATATGATAAACCATCCTTGTGTTTTAAAAGCTCCAACACACTCACCATAAACATATTGTAAATATGCAAATTCTGTCTTGAAATAGTTATTTCCTTAAATTTGTACTGCAAAATTAACTACATATTCTTTCTTAATGGGGTTATTGGTGTCCTATAATACCCTAAGTTTTGAGGTATCTTACAGTTCATGTAATCCTTTCATATGTATTATGTTACTTGATCTTCCTAAGTTTAGACACTACCTAACATCTGAATTGCTTTCAACTTTGTTACTGTCAATTCTGAGTTTTCTTTCGCCCTTCTATTTATAATACAGTTAGGAAATAAGCTGAGGAAAAGTTATGGTAGTGTTACAAAAAGAAATGAATGCAGACTTTCATTTGTTATGTATTTTGTAGTTTCATTCTACCTATGGTTTTGGTTCTTACTCTTGGTTGTGCCTGGGGATGTGGATCATAACGGATAGGCCTCTGCACTAAGCCTACCAAAAGGACTTTGTAGCCCACTTTTTCTTTGGCTTTGGTAAAATCCTAGGCTTTTTACAACAATATAACCAAACATTCAAAGTAACTGAAGTGCAATCAAATAATTCAGCCAACTGGATATCTTCTCTGTGCAAATAACACACGCCCAAAATCTACAAAATCTCAGGAGAAATAAATGTTCAGGGAAGAAGTATAGGTTTTTATGTGCTTGCAGTTTAGGATTGTGAGCTAAGTGATATTATTGCCAAAAAAATTAATGTACTCCTGGGCTGAATTACAAGAGGTCTGGCACATAGAGAAAAAATGTTGATAACTTAACGTGTTTTCCTTTATATTCTTATTTTACTTTCACACCTGGTGTGTTTACCAGTGGATTCTTAGAAAAATTGGAGCTATCCAGAAGAAAGTGTCCTGAATGACAGACAGATACAAACAATGTGATATTACAAATATTTGAAGGAATTAGGAGTACCCACCTAGAGATTCGAAGTATTACATATGGGCAACAGGTGGAAGGATTGTTGTTTTTTACCAAAAATTAATAAGGGTAAAGTTAAGGTTATAGGAGGCAATGTTCAGACACAGAATGAGGAAGACTTTGGACTACTTCATGAAGATTTTAATTTACTATCAAGAAATAAATAACTTCTTGTTGACGGCTTTGACACTGAATAAGGTATTTAATTAAAATATAATTAAGGTCCTTGTAAAATTTGAGTCTGATTCTTCATGTACACAAATAACTTATAAATCATAGTGGGATTATATATTTAAGAAAACTATATATAAAACCTCAAGGAAATTAAGCAAAAAGGGTTTCAGAAGAAAGAATTTTTACATGGAATATACTGTTTGAGTTGGGGCTTGAATGATTGATTGGATTTTGACTAAAATGGTAGACACCTCAAGCTAACAATTAAGTGATGTAAGTGTATGGTGACATGTAATTACTCATACTGCAACTTAGGGATAAAAAGGTAGAATTTTTACTTTATCTAAAATTGATTTGGTCATCCTCATGAAATCTCATTCATTGAGAAACAGAAGAGGGGAAATAATGTATTTTTACTCTAATCTAGGAACTTGGGTTCAATCAGTATTTTAATCAGTTCCTTTGGTACACTTCAACTTCATTAGGTTAAGATCCTCAGTCACTTAAGATTTCCAACTTTTCACCCACATCCTATTTAAGATGGTATCTTGGGAAAATCAGAAGAAAGCTTACATCACCCTTGAGTCACTGGGATAAAAGATCATTGGCTTTGAATGATGCCTTCTGTCTCCTATGGTTTCTAAGGTGACATCCCTTGTATGCCTAATTGCTTTTGGTTTCTCACTTGAAACTGGTAAGTAAAGACAGTCTGACTGATATGTCTCATCTCTTTGGCACTTTAGAAATACCTGGTCTAAAAAATCAACCCCATAGGTTTTGCTAAAAAATCACCTTGCTCTCTTAATATCTTGCTTCATGGCAGGTCTGCTAACTCTCAACTCGGCTACTTTCTAAGTACAAAGAAACTTTCATCCGTTCTGGAAATAAACACTACCCTGTTTCTGCCTAATCATGATGCGCTGTTCAAGGTTGCTTGAATGTGGTCCCTACTCAGCCTGACCAAACGATATCCTCCCAGAGATCTGAGAACTGGGAAAGAAATTTCTTTGTCCTTGAGTTTTCCTATACCAATCTAGGTATTGCTAAAGAGCCACAATTCCTTAGCCCCATCCTCAACGTGGGAGTAAACATGTTTTTGGTTTCTTTTCTTGAGCTCTTCTACCCCTTTTCCCTAATTTGCTGAGTGAAAAGAGAGAAGGATTTTCTTCTACTTTACCTATCTCATCACAACCACTTTCCTTTATCAATCTCTGGCCTTAGCCTGTATAATAGACTAAGATATCTTGTCTTTGCAACAGGAGAAACGATCATTTGGTCCATCAGGCCTAATTTTAATAAGTTAGACCATAAACAACCTCTTGACAATGCCTTGATCTGAAGCCTAAAAATCCTAACTTGGATATCAAACATTAAATATTCAACTCTTTGGGTATTTTGTATGTAATAATCCAAATACTCAGCAGAAAACTGCCTTGGATTGAATGGATCTTATACCCAGAAAGTTACATTAGTGTTTCTCAAAACTTCACCCCCTTTCCAATTACACAAACATTCTAGCCTATAAATCCGACCCTGATAATTCTCTGTTTAAGGCTTTTCAATAATTTCCCATTGCCTTAATATTCTGGAGGTTTTCTTGATAACCCAAACTAGGTTGTAACCCTGTTATATGCTTCCAAAAGCTCCCATGCTTCCTCTTTCTTAATATCCATCATACTTTTACCTTTGCAATGTCTATTTTTCCTTAGAGATTTGAACTCCAAATTTCTAACATGCAGCACATTGTCTTGTACATAGCAGGTGCTTAATAAATATTGTATGAGTTACAGCTTTAATTATATGCCTATTTCTCACTTATCAGTCAGTCAATTGTTATTTTAGTCTACAATTTTCAAGATTTGTAATCGGAGAGTACCCTGCTCTACTGTTACTGCACTGGCAGCATCAATTTTTAGTCCTGCAGAGTCAGGCTTTCAAACCCAGAAAAGTCATCAATAAATATCCTCTTGTGAATTTCTTAACAGGTAATAATTTACCTTCTCCCTGGGGACACCCATAGGTTAACATCAGAATTCTCTGAAACTTCAAAGGATCCATCTTCTTCACTACCTAAGTTCATAAGGAAGACATTTCACTTAAGGTACCTAATTATCTTTCATTTTTATTAACATGCTATTGTGCCAAGTTTTTTCACAGGCTTATTTTTCAAGGCTTAAGTTGGTCTTTCCATTTATGTGGATGAATCAACTAGACTTAGCCATGTTATGGCTAAATGGAAGTGACTAGAAAGGGTAGCATATAGCAATCTATCTATATGTAAATTGTTGCTTAATGGTTAACATTTGTTTGAATTATAAAATCAATAAAAAATAAATTAATTTACAACAATCACACACTCTGAGAAAAGGAGAGGTACTATTTTTGGTCCTGAGATAGTAACAAATATAAAAACTAGAAGCAAATGTGAACAGAGGTCAATAGTGTGTGACCACTCTGTTTATTTTTAAAACATTTACACATCCAGTAAGTGCACTGCAGAATCTTAAGTGTCTTTAAAAGCAATGGGGGCACAAGTTTCGGGTAGCTTGAGGAAGCACAAATCAATCTTCATTTTCTATTGTAGCAAAGATTCTTTCCATGAGAGCAGGTGCTGTTTATCCTCCCTTCATTAGCGCCCACAACGATGTCTGGCACAGGGCGAGCCTTTAATAGTCATCTGCCGAATGCAGGAATGAATGAGAGCTAAGAAGGCGGGCTAAGTGGCTGTTGGCCTCGAAGCATGTCTGCTGCCTTTTTAGCAGGCTAGCTGGCATCTATCTTCTAATGCCCTCACCTTTCCGGGGGTAATGAGTTTCCTTGTTTGCCCCTCCTTCGGGTGGCCGAAACGCTGTTCCTAACCCCCCCACTCCCCAGGTAATCCACTCAGGTTGAGCTGGCAGGGTCCAGGCAGCGCACAGCCCGGGACCTTGAGAGGGGAAGGGAGCGCTCTGGCTCCAACACCGGGATACGGTCTGGGCTCTTACTTTTCATTTGCAGTCCTTGATGAACAACTAACCTGCTCGCCCTAGCCTCCCGGTGAAGACACCTCAGTGCCAACTCGACTCCGCCTGGCACTGTGTGCAGAGAGAAAACGCCAAATCGCCATCACCAGGAGAGACAGCGAGGCGCGCGCGCGGCGCCCGCAGCCGCCCTGGCGCCAGCCCGCCGTTGCCGCGCGCTCGGGGTCGGACGCCTCAGGCGCGAGGCTGCCTCGGCGGTGGCTCGGGGGCAGGCGGAGGCTGGAGCGCGCTGAAGGGGGAGGGGAAGGAGCGCCGCGCGCCAGCAGGTGGGCGCGTCCTCCCGCGCGCGTGCGCGCGCCGCGCCTTCTCCCTCACGTTCCCCGCGCGCTGCGTCCCCTCCCCGCCGGGAACGCGCGCCTCCCGCCCTCGCGCCGGGTCCCGCTCGGTCTCTCAGAGCCGCACAATTCCCGGAGCTGCTGCCACGGCGGTCGCCTCGGCCGCGGCTCTCTAGCTTCGAGGCTCAGCCTCGGTCCTTCAGCGCCGCGTCCCGGCGCCTTCCCCTCCCTCCGCCACTCCCCCTCCCTTTCCCGCCCTTCTTGCCCACCCGGCCCGCCGAGGGAGCCTGGATACGAAGCAGGTGGGCTTGAGAAAGGGGTTGGAAAAATGGAGGTGCCGCGCCTGGATCATGCCCTCAACAGCCCCACCAGCCCCTGTGAGGAGGTGATCAAAAACCTCAGCCTGGAGGCCATTCAGCTGTGCGACCGGGACGGTAAGAGCGGCCGGGACGGTGAGGAGAGGGACGGAGCCCGAGTCGAGGCGCCGGGGCCGCTCCAGCTCTGCCGACGCCGTCCGCCTGGGCGGTGGGGTCTTTTGTTGTCCCCCCTGTGCAAATAAATGCAAGTGCGGGCCCCCCTCCGCCCATCCGCCCTACCTTTACCCTAGAAACAAAAGGACCCCGGGGCTCGCGGCTTGGTGCGGAAAGTGGCCGTGGTCGCAACCGCGGCGACCCTCGCCGCCCTCGCCCGCCCGGCGTTCCCGCCAGTGGTTGCTGCCCCGACCGGGCGTTTCCGATCTTTGCCGCAGTCCGGATTTCCTGGGTCTCCTGGCACCGAGGGAATATGCCCTCTGGATGTTTCTAGCAGCACCTTCTCCCCGACACACTAGTTAGCAGTCTCAGTCTTGAAAGTTACCGTTTCCTTTTTTAAACCTCCTATCATCAGACTCCCTAAATTAAGAAGTCTTTTTATCCTCTCAAATTGAGATGAGATGACATTTTTTCAGTGAAGGAGCAGGGAAAAAAAGCCAGTACATTTCAGCACCAAGGACAGACACAAGGTTCGTGGTTTTAAGTCTATCAAAAATCTGTAAAGGAACTGGCCTAAAGTGTCTGCGGTGGCTGGGAATCCGTGGCGAGTAAGGACCATTGTGTGTTGATGGTATATCGTTGATTCTATTGTTAAAGTTGGCAGTCTCCTGAAGAGAGACATTGACTGAACACAGGTCTGAGTGTTACAGATACAGGCCAGTCCTCCGTGCAGTGTGAGTAGTTAGCTTCTGTGTTAGTTGGACTGGTTGGAGAGTGAACGCTATCGCAGTAATGTGGTATAAAACTTCATTTGCAGAGAAGTCATCTAGTTAGTAATCGGTTGGCGAAATAATTGTGAAATGCTACAACTGACAAAGGAAAAAAATGTGTGTTGTAAAGATGGCCCTGAACACTTTTGATTATAAGTGAAATTAATATTTAACTGTATGTAGAGGTAATGATTGTACAGCATTTTTTAGTCAAAGTTAGGTAGAGACACTAATATGCTCAGAGTAAGGTCATAAATTTTATCAGTATAATCCAAATAGGGAGCAAAGGTCTCAAAGGATAATAACTTGGTTAGGCATTGCTGTTCAGTATGTTTAGGTCAAGTGGGCACCCAGTTTCTGTTTATTAGTGAATTTTCTATTTATACAAACTTACATTTAATAATTTTGGAAACAAAATTCAAACTTTTTAAAACCCAAGCCACTTTAATCTGAAACAGATGTAGTGTGAATAAATAGATACTCTTACAGAGACAGCTTATTTATCCTTTATTCTTAAGACTATTTTGGTCACCGTGATAGTAAGTGCACATCTTTGTGCCATCTAAAAAATTCATCGTTTGCTATTCCATATATAAGCTTGGGTGATTAGACCATAAAGATTATTTTTAACTTATCACAGGCATCATTTAGATTTTAGTTTGCATACTGTTCATAAAATGATTCTTTGTGATGTTACCATTGTAAATTATAAATATTTTTATTTTCTTAGATTGATTCAAGAGAAAACTAAAAATTAATAAAAGTAGATTTCATTTTTATTTACTTAAGTAATTTGTCAAAAGCTCATTTCTGTAGTAATTGGGAATGGGCACTTCATTATTATTCTTTGGCACCCGGTAATATCAGTACTTAAAATTGCATTTACCATGTGTCTCAAAGATATTAGGGAAAATAAAGTTCACAGAGTTAATAGATTAAAATAGTTAGATTAAATAGTTAATAAAAATTAATCCTGTGTTTGCTGTGTTTACTGTGATCTTTTCTGCTAGAGTAGTAGCTGTTTTATTCTGGTAATAGTTTTTAGTTCTTTCTGTTTTTGCATTGTGAATCCTGAAAAATGAGTAAATTATGTAATTTTTAACTTTGGGGAGATGTTGGCACTAAGCAGTATTTATGAAAATTAAAATTACTATTTTCAAATTTCTAATTAATTTAACATAGACTAATTAAATAGGATTTTATTTTATAAAATAGTTTATGCCAATGAGTATAAAGGGCTGACTCTTCTATTAGAAGATGTGGAAAAATTTGGAAATATGTTTAGTGATGGTATTACATGCTTAACATTTTGTGTGATCCTGTCTGACGTATCAATGCCAAAAGTATTAAGTTGGCTTCAGAGGAATAGTTTGAGGGGATAACATTTTTACATAACAGTTTATAAAGTTTTGCATTAATCAACCAGACTTTATTTGAAATCATTTTTGATTGAGGAATTTTAAGCTTGATGCTGTTTGCTCCCTTCACTTCTTCCCTTTCACTTCCTTTCACTTTCTTTCCTCTAACGTCTCATTTATAAATATATAGACAAGAAGGTGGAAGAATATATGGCGAAGATATGTTTATGTGCTTACATACATAGTAAGAGCTATATTTTCTTAATTTTGTGATAGAAATACATTTGTCATAAGATTAAAAACATTTATGAGCATAGAAGGTATTTCCTTTAAATTGATGTTTTGCATTCTCAGTAAGAATTCACAATGTTTCTTTTTTTCATAGTTTCTCAAATAATTGAATAGCCTGAAGAACATAAGTTAGAGTCCACATGGTTATAAAACTAGATTTTTAATTAATAAAAATGATTCTTATGTACTCATACATCACCTCATGGATAGTATCTTCTAGGCATGTGTGTTTTGGTTACTAGTACATGGACCCTGCCTAGGTGTGTACTTGTAGTTCAAAGTGAGGATTCTGGATAGGCTATTAGGAAGCCTTCTGGAGATATACTATAGATCTAATAGTTTCTGCAAATTCCTATGCAAGTAGAAGAGATTTCTGTTCCTCCATCTCTGCTGCACTGAAGTATACTGAAGTTACTGCATAATGTAATTTCATTGTGACTTTTCAAAAAACATTGAAAGAGAAAAACAGTTTCTCTTTTGGAAGCATCACTAATACTGGAATACATTTCCAGTTTGTTTCTTCATGTAAATACCTTCACAGAATACTCTCTTACCTTACCCCCACAGAATTCTACATTATTTCTGCTTTTCATATATATATATGTATATGAGCTTTCTTTCTCTTGCTGACAAGGAAAGATTTAAATGTCTGCAGATTGTCTTACGTGCATATAAGCTCCCTTATCCTTGTTATAATGAAGAATAAAATAGCAAACTAACTTGTTTCATAGCACTTAAATCCACCCCCAAGGCTTCTTAGCTTTTACAATTATTATTTCTATGATTAGGGCATTTTATGACTATGTAGATGTGGTTTATGGAGTTTATGATACTAGTCAGCAAGGGAACATATTTTAAAGCAATTACACAGGCAGAAATTGACATTTTTCCCTGTCTTTTAGTCCTGTGGAGAAAAAGAAAAAAGGTTTTCTCCCTTTTATATATTTAAAGTGATAGATTCCTTTGAATGTGGACTTCATTATATCTATTTAAATTATAAATTGATTGATACCTTCTTTATGCTTCTTGATGTGAATTACGTAGATTTTAACTTTGGAAACAAAGTAACAAATACTTAGTGGCAATGAGGTATGTTAAATAATTCTTAATGACATTTTCTGAAGAAAATATCTAGTAGGAATATTCATAACTATTACCTTTAATAGTCTTTATTACAAAAATGTAAGGTAATCATTACTCAGTCTCACTGACATGTAGTATAGTATAATGATAATATCACTTTAGATCAGACCAACCTGTTAGAATATTGATTCTTGATAGATATGTAGCCACAGGCAAATTAATTTAGTTTTAAGGTTTCTTATGTAAAATGGATAAAATAATGTCAATCCTGTAGGATTATTGAAATAAGCAAATAAAGTATTTCTTATATACTGTTTGTTGCAAGTCTTAATATAAAATAGAGTAATAATTATTATATTGAATAGAGTATTATTCTCTACATACATTCTTGAGTTGAACAAAATTGACTTTTATTTCTTTGAGTTTTTTTGCTCTTTAGATCTTTGTTGTTTTTCATAATTTTGGTTATGTGTTGTTTAGTTAGGAAATCACTTCAGTTTCATGAGTAATTAATGGAGCCTGTAAAATCTGAATTTTAAAAAATAGGATATTTAAAAATCACTGTTTAAAATACTTTTATCTCTTGTTCTGTTTTATCATCCTATCAGTAATATTCTTTTCAACCTTAGTCCAAAAGCTGTTTTCAGCTTCTAGTTCAAATCTTCTCTTTGCTGTTTTTCATGTGTCTTGTGAGCTTGATACCTACTCTGGGATGGCATTTGCCTCACAGCCCTTCTCTGTTCTTAATTTACAATGTTTTTCTGTATTTTTTTTTTCAAGGATAGTTCTGTACCAGGACATGTGACTTCTGGATTAATTTCTTCGACCCAGATATGACTATAGAGATACTGTAAATTTTTATTAGTATGAAACAAAATAAAAAATAAAAGAAACAAAAAGCTTTAAGACCACCAGATTATGTTAAGCCAGTTCATATTCTTGGTAGAGGTTCTAATGTATTCCCAGGGAAGACCACGAAGTTACTCCGGTAAAAGTCACATCAAAGTTTATGTTACCAGACTCCCTCCAGTGGTAGGATGACTGATGTGTCATAAGTAGTAACACTGGCAGCTTGCTTTGTTGCTAAAGTAGGCTGGTCAGAAATCACACTATAGATAATTTAGAAAACTTATAAGTCACTTGATTTTTATCCCTACTGATTTTTCCTTCTATTTTAGGCCTAATCTTTCTTTTTCCTCTAATTTATGTGAATATGCTTTCCTGATTACTTTTGTGTTTTATCCTGGGCTTCATTGATAATAGCAGCTGCATCACTTATTGCAGCAAGCATAATCCTCCCAGTTTCTATTTTTTGGTCTTATGATTTTCCTTCTCTGCCCTTAGTATTCGCGTAATTCCAGTCTTGCCTTGTATAATGTGCCTCTTTCTTGGGTTTATTTTCCATTTCTTTAAATTTCTTTATATTTTTATCCTTTATTATTTAAATTCTGTTTTTACTAAA